AAAAAAGCTGGGGTACTGTTAACACAAAAAGTGGGTACAGATGATAAATGGCAAAATCCACAAATTCTACAACATCTACCTATAAACAACAGTTGAAAGAATAAAGGCTAAGAGAAGACAAAAAAATGCTTTCTAAAAAAACATTCAAAAAACTGTCTTGATGGAAAAAAAGATTAATCCATTTTCTTGTACTGCAGGAAAGAATTAGGGCCAATAGGCAGAGGAGATAAGGATACAGATTTAATTCAGTAGATGTAAAGAACTTTCTAACAATTAGAGATGTCCAGTAATTGAACAGGTGGCATCATGAAGTAAAGAGTTTCCCATAGTTGGAAGCGTTCTCGCAGGATGGTGGCCATCTGTTGGGAATGTTACAGAAGGGACTACACTGGGTAGGAGGGTGCTCTACACTGCCTCTTAGATTCCTTCCCACTCTAAGATTCTAAATTACTGAGAACAGCATGAATAAAAGATCCAAACCCATTCAAGAACTAAATTATTCAACAAAAAGTAATAGAACTTTCAGCTATGAAGTTGAATCTACCAGACTTTGGGTGCCAGCCACCCATTTTATAAGGAAAACAGATCCAAATCTTTATAAACGATTACTTTTAAATTACAACATTAAAAGTAACGTTACCAAAAAAACCCAAAAATGTTTTTCCAATTTTAAAAATTTCTCTTCCAAATTTAATCAATATGTTCATATAATTTCACTTCTGTCAGGCTTATTCCCTAAGCTGAACAACGCTAAGTTTTGTATTACTCTTTTTACCTTCCCAGCTCCTGAGATACAGGATAGCTGAGTGGCTCTGCTACTGTCAAGCTGTACTTTTTCACTTAATGTTATATTAAATATGTTTACCACGCTGATACAAAATCTTCATCATTACTGTTTTAGGGCCTTACACACTTAGCTGTGTTGGTATAACATAGTTTACTCAGCCATTTCCCTACTGGAGGGCATTTACGTTTCTTTCAACTCTTCACTATACTGCTGCCTTGAACATCTTTATACAAACAGTTTTTTCCCTCTTTTGAATTATTTCTTAGGTCTGGGGTTAGTGGGCCAAAGGGTATGAATATTTTTATGGTTCTGAATAGGTACTTCCAAAAGAACGCTATCAGTTTGCAGTGCTACTAGCAGTAACTAGTTTAACCTTTCCCTAAGGCATTGTCCACGATAGGTTTTACACAACATTTTAAAAATTACTAACATATATTAAGTAGTACTTTATAATTGTTTATATTTCCATTGTTTTCCTCTAAAAACATGAGTAAGTTGCAATAGCCCTCTTAACTCTTTTTTTTAACAAAAATACAACTCTTAATCTACATTCCTACTTTAGTGAAAGAACTCAGCAGTGCATGTAGATGAAAAAAGTCACACCAGAGAAAGCGAATAAGCAGCATTAAAGTAACCAGATTAAGCCCAATATGGATTTGCTCATGCTAAGCCTCATATCAGCAAACCAAAACTTAACTAAATTTCTATGCTCAGCTCTCCCAGGAAAGGAGGGCCTAGGTCAATCAATGAGCGCTGGCCTGCCCTGCACAAGTTACCTAACCTGGCTCCGAGACTTCCCTTTGCTCCATATAAGGGAAGTGACCTTGCTCTAACCAATCAGCAAATGCCCAGTATAACTTCTTGTTCCTGCTCGCCGTGGTGTATAAAACCCTCTCAAACTGTACAATTCTTCGGAGTTCTTTTCTATCTGCTAGATTGGATGCCGCTCTGTTCATGAATCACTGAATAAAGCCAATAAGATCCTTAAAATTTACTCAGTTGGATTTTGTTCTTTAACAACAGAGAGGATAGAAATTAACTCCAAGAAGGGCAAATATCTCCTCCTCCCAACTGGCATGCACTCTGGGAAGGCTAGAGAACACTGAGCGAGCACTGGTTCAACATGTCTCTGATACAGCTTCCTGAAACTGAAGGAACACTAAAGGAAGTGAGGGTTCTCCAAGAAGTTCTTTTTCCTCCAAATTCACATATATCGTCCAGAATCCATACTTTTTCCTGGGATTTCAGTTAAGATTCCAATCATCTCAAAAATAATTCCCTATACCAAAGGCTCTATTAAACAGGAAAGAAGCAGATAAAAAAATCATACAAGAAGCAAAAATTAAAGCACAAGAAGCATATAATAAAATAACAACATAGTTTGTCAAAAATCAAACTGGGAAATGAAGTTTGGCATAGTTTCACAAACGACAAAAATAATTTGTTTTCCTAACATTATATTATTAAATGAGTACAGATTATTCTGACTTGTTCATTTTTCCCTCTGGATACAAATAAGAGTGGAAGAACATTAAAGATAAGATATTAAAGGTGCGAAAGTGAGAAATTAAAAGTCCTTGTTCCCACAGCAACTACATGAGACACATTTGCGCGACACAGGCCACTCCTTAGACATGCATCTGTTTCTTGCCACTTAATTTCTGGGAAAACATAAGGCAAATATACCAATAAAATCACACCTGAACTACACACAATTTGAGACCAACATGTTATCGTTGCCTAGGTAATAAAAATTTACATTTCCCACGGGAAACGGGCAGTAATCGCTTTAAGTGTATATTATTTATATTGTGCAGCAGAGTGAAAACAGCCCTCCTGTCCCATAAGACGTGCTTGAAAGTGTGTTGTCTGTGATGTAACCTGAATAATATCTTTTATGTAAAATGCTACTATTAGATCTTTTTTTAAAGGGGTGATTTCCTAAGTCTCCCAGGAAAGACCAAAGTCTCTATGAACAAAAGAATAACAGTTCAAAGAGAAATTCATTCCCTAAATGAAAAGGAGACAATAGTAAGAAAAAGAAAAGGTTCTGACATCAGTCCTAGGTGGGGATGAGAGGATTCTGGCCACCCTCTGGTGAAAGCTCTTGGCTTTTGCCAGGAGAAGCAGACTAGAATTCGAAAGAGAATAAAATGGAAGCTTCTTAAGAGTAGAGAACTTGACCTCAACCTAATGCCTAGTGGTGTTCAATAAATACCTGCTAAATGATGAATCAATACACTCCTGAAAGAATCAAGAAGCCTGAATCTCCAAAAAGCCAGACAACATATTCTAAAGGACTTCCATAGGATTAGTCCCCTAGGAGCTGGCTCTGTGGCCGAGTGGTTAAGTTCGTGTGCTCTGCTGCGGCGGCCCAGGGTTCGGATCCTGGGCACGGACATGGCACCGCTCCTCAGGCCATGTTGAGGCAGCGTCCCACATCCCACAACTAGAAGGACCTGCAACTAAGATATACAACTATGGAAAAAAAAAAAAGATTAGTCCCCTAAATTGAAGAAAGCTATGCTCTGTATTACTCTTTTTACCTGCCCCACCATGTGTATGCCGTGCCTTCTGAGTCCTCATGTACACAAGAGGGCCTGCTCACTCTGTGGGCTGACTGACGAGTGCATGGCTGCTTGACTCACCAAGTCATCAGACACAACCCGAAAGAGGGAGAGCTTCAAAACGGGCCTCGAGCGCCACAGAGTTGGCAGTAAAAGGCTGATGTTCTCTGCCACTATATGTAATTCCAAAGTTTTATTTAAAAATATGTAAGTTCATTTTTGGTAAGAAACACTAGTAAGAGCCAAAGCAAAATTTCAAGACTGAAAGTGTCGTCATTACGAGAGGAAAGCAATAAGGACGCTCAGGGTGTGTTTTCGGGTTCCCATGGTGACATTGTTTTCTGAGTTTTAATACACAATATTAAATTCTTTCTTCTGGGCTTTTTAAGGCTTTTTAAAAAGGAAATAAACCAGATTCATTTTCTTTCTAATTGGCGACATCCAAAGGCATGTTTTCTAGTCCCTACGATCCTACCAAAAACAGGAAACAGGTCTTTAAAACAAGCCTTTAAGTTCCCGCCTATTTTAATTCCCTCTCTGGGCTTGAAGACATTTAATAGAACGTCCCAAATAACTGCAGTTAATCTCCATACCTAGGCATGTTTACTTTCCATTGACAAATGTCCTGATATTTTATCTATGCAATAGTCTACCATTTTCTCAACATACACATAAGTGATACACAATATTTGGTATTTTATTTAAATGCCCCTCAACTTCCCTTAACAAAATGGGTCAGGTAGTCTGATGTGTTTTTCAACACCATCAAGCAATCAACTCAGTTCTGACACCATCGACCTGGAGATGAGATCCCAGATCTCACAGTTTAAGGGCCAGGTCCCTCCACTTCAGCGGCCAGTCACAAGTCCAGGTTGGCACCTGTGCTTCTGACCGACTGGCTACACATTTGAAGTTCTAAGCACCCCCTCCTTGGGTTTGATTAATTTTCTTGAGTGAGAAACATTTACCTACTTTGACCAGTTTATTATAAAAGATATTATAAAGGATACAGATGAACAGCCACACGAAGAGGTGCACAGGGTAAGGTACGTGGGGTGCAGAGCTTCCGTGCTCTCTCTGGGCGTGAAACCCTCTCAGCATCTCCATTTGTCACCCACCCTCCCTGCATCTCCCCCCGCAACCCCCGGTCACCTACCCTCCCTGCATCTCCCCCTGTCACCCACCCTCCCTGCATCTCCCTCTGTCACCCACCCTCCCTGCATCTCCCCCTGTCACCAACCCAGAGGCTCTCTGAACCCGGCCCTTTGGGGCGTCTATGGAGGCTTCGTCGCACAGGCCCGAGGGATTAACTCATCGGCCGTTGGTGATTGATTCAACCCCCAGCCCCGTCCCTCCCCACAAGCCAGTGGTGGGAAGGAAAGTTCCCACCTTCTAAGCACAGGTTGGTCTCCTGGTGACCAGGCCCCTCGCTGGGTTACCTAGGGACTTCCCAAAGGCACCTGGTACATAAGAAGAGACACGCTCTCCTCCCTCAGGAAATTCCTAGGGTTAGGAGCTGTGTGCCAGCAATGGGGATGAAGACCAAACACGTATTTCTTGTTATAAATCACAGTGTCACAGGTAGTAAGAAAGTCATAAACTAGTCGTGTCCCCCTTCCTCTCCCCTGAGAGAGACGGATTCTTACCCAGTTATTGAAACACACACAAAGGCAGACACCCCACCGGACGCTCCCAAGGCTGCACCAACCAACCCCGCCAGGCAGCACGCGCGGAGCCTCCGAGGGGCCCGGGACAGGGGCGGTGACGCGCACAGGCCGGCCGGCGGCTCGGGACAGGCGCGCGCCCCACAGCCCCGGGGCCAGGCGGCCGCGGACCCACGAGAGCGCGACAGTGTGCGCGCGCTTCTCACGCCCCACACACACGCTCTCCTCTCCCTCGCCAGCCCACTCTCTCCCACACACAGCCTCCCACACTCACGGCCTCTCACACACACGGTCTCTCACACACAGCCTCTCACACACACGGTCTCTCACACACGGTCTCTCACACACGGTCTCTCACACACGGCCTCACACTCACGGTCTCTCACACACAGTCTCTCACACTCTCGCTCAGTCTCTCACATACAGTCTCACACGCACAGTCTCACACACTCGCAGCCCCTCTCACCATCCACGCCCTCTCACTCACACACACACACACTCCCACACTCTCTCACAAATGAGCGCACGCGGAAACCCCCGTCCCCCCAGTCCCCCGCCTTGGCCCCGCCCCGCTGGCCCCGCCCCCCGCCTTGGCCCCGCCCCGGGGCGGGGGGCGGGGCGAGCCGGTGACAGGAGGCTGCCGGCCCGGGCCGGGACTTCTGGCGCCCTGGCCGGCTGGGCGCGCTCCGGAGGCGCCCGTGTGCGGCGAGCGCGGCTGATCCAGGGCGGCCCTCGGGCGGCCACCGCCGCTTCGCTTCGCCTTCGCGGCTTGGCCCCCGGCGGCCGGAGCGAGCGGAGGGAGCTGGCGACGGGATGTGCTCGGCCGGGGAGCTGCTCGGCGGCGGCGGCGGAGGCGGCGGCGGCGGGGAGCGCGACGAGGACGCGGACGCGCGGGCGGCGCGGGCGGCGGCGGGGCCGGAGCGGGAGCCCGGGGCGAGCCCGCGGCGGCGCGGGCGGCGGGCGCAGGAGGAGCGCGAGCAGGTGAGCGCGGAGGGGCGGCGCGGCCCGGCGGCT